TAAAATTTTACATGTACAAAAATATAGAAATATGTGTATATATAATTATAGACTTTCATTTTTCCTAAACTGAAAGGCTCAGTTTTGCAGACTATAATCAAATCTCTCTTAAGTATGCATTAGAGTTATATTTAATCAATCCAAAGTAAGCATTTGTTAACAAAAAGGATAAATGCCTTGACACTTATATATAAGATTCAAGGTCTAAATTTACATTATTTCTCCAAATGGAGCACAGAGAAGAGAGGCAAATGCAGATCACATACAAAAACTCTTCTAAGTAGGAATTCTGGAGTACCACTGAGAAAGCCACCTTCACTGCTTTGGGGCCATCTGGCTCCCATAGATAAAATATCCAGGACAGAAGGCTGCCTAACGATGAAAACCCACCTTAACTTGCATAACAAGGATGTCAATGTTTGCAATTCCCTAAAGATGATGGTGCGAGTTTCCTCCCTTCATTTTTAAGCTTTTAGGAAGAATATATAAATAACTTCTAAAACAGTTCATCTTTCTTTCATCACTTTTTCTTTCAGCTCTATCAAAAGATTGCAGTTCCAAGGTGTACAGCACTTTCCATAAGCACCATGGCTCCCACAGCCAGAGAAATAAAGAAAGCAATTCAGACTTGTAAAAACAGAGGGAAACTCAACCTCAGGGAAATAAAGAAGGCAACTCAAACTCAAGAAAATTTAAAAAGTCACTCAGACTCAAACTCCAGGCAATCCTATAGCTGTTGTTTTACCCCTACATGCTGAAGCGTGCAGCTCTTAAAAATACACACGTTTTGGGCGCCTGGGTGGCTCAGTTGGTTAAGCGACTGCCTTCGGCTCAGGTCATGATCCTGGAGTCCCGGGATCGCGTCCCGCATCAGGCTCCCTGCTCAGCAGGGAGTCTGCTTCTCCCTCTGACCCTCCCCCTCTCCTGCTCTCTGTCTCTCATTCTCTCTCTCTCAAATAAATAAATAAAATCTTAAAAAAAAAAATACACACGTTTTCTTGGGTAGTCATAATGCCGTTGTCATACCTAACAAAATTATCAGTAATTCCCAAAAGCCAGTTTCACTATAGAAATTTCCCAACTATTTCAAAAATCTACTTTTTACAATTGCTCAAACTAGGATTCCAATAGCTCCATGTGTTGCATGTGGTTAGTGGGTCTCTTCTGTCTCTTTGAACCCAGAGTGATCATCACTCCCCCCTCCTTAATTTTTCTTCACACCACCTGTTGAAGAAACCAGGTCAGCTGTCCTGCAGAATGTCCTACACTCTAAATTCATCTTTTTGCTTCTTTGGGGTGTTACCAGAAAGTCACTTAAATATGGATTCTCTTGTTATCTTTGCAAGTTCCTTCATGTCCCTATTTTTCAGGAACTTTGGACTCTTTTGTAGATAGTGGTGGAAGGACCGTCATCATATCTCACCTGGGCCACAGCAACAGCATCCCAATTGGTTTAAATTACCCTTTCCTTGGCCTCCCTTTACCTCCTCCCACCCCATTCCTCTCTTCCCAGGCATCTTTAGCATGATCTTTTAAAATGGAATTCAGGGGGTGCCTGGGTGGCTCAGACAGTTAAGCATCCAACTCTTGAGTCTCAGGGTCCTGAGACCAAGACCCGTGTTGGGCTCCACAGTGGGCATGGAACCTACATAAGTTCTCTCTCTGCCCCTTCTCTCACTCTCTCCCTCTTAAAAAAAAAAATAAAATAAAGTTTAAAAATAAATAAATAAATAAATAAAAGAAATTCAGACTCCTGTCTGCATAACATTTCTCCAATGATTACACATGGAATAAGAGCCAAAACCAGGACCTACCCGACTCCACCTGCTCTGGTCTTTGCCCACCTCTCCACCTGCATCACCACTTGCACCCCTGCCCCTTGCCTAATATATCTTCTTCTGGTTCCTCAAACACATAGAACTCTTTTCAGCTGGAAGCCCCATAGAACTCTTTTCAGCTGGAAGCCTTTGTAGTTGTTTATTGATCCTATCTAGGACGCCTTTCCCTCAGATATCCGCATGGCATGTTGTTTACCATCAATCAGGTCTCACCTCAAAGACAACCTCAGAGGGCCCTACCTGGACACCCCAAATGAAACAGGCCACCCCCCCACCACCCACATCATCATTCCAGCATTCCACCCTTATTTTTATTATAGAACTTGCCACATCTGTAACTCTTTATTTGTATACTAGGTTCTCTCTCATGAACCTGCTTTGTTGTTTTCTTAACACATCTCACTACCTGATGTTTGCTAGGTATTAATTTGCTTCTTTACTGCCTGTCACTTGCCATTTGAGGATAAGCGCCACCAGAGTGGGGAATTTCCCTGTCTTACACCTGAAGTGCCTAGAACTGTACCTGGCACATAGTAATTGCTCAATAAATCTTGCTGCATAAAAGAATGCCAAAAGTTAGCCAGATTGCTTACATATGAAAAGATTCCCAGGTTGTAATCTCTAGGTGATTTTTACATTAGGTTAAAAATTGCTATATAATATATGCTATAAGAAGATCTAAGAGAACATCCCACACTTCATATTTCTTAAAAATCAGAATTAAATAAGATTCTTCATAATTTCTAACCATATATTTTAGGGAAAAAAACCCAGTTTTCTTCCTCTATCTTTGCAACCATTTTGTGTCTTATACATAGCAAACAGTCCAACCACAAAATGACTTATTTTCCCATTGCTCCAAAGCTAATATGCTCTCCTTATTTTATAAAAAGAGAAAACTCTATGCATCATCGTACATTCACTTAATTGATTTTTCATATGCAGGCACCACTATTGCATAGTTGAATATTCACAGTACAATCATCATGCAATTTATATATTTATTCAGTATTATCCTTGGTAATTATTATTGAGCACTTTAATTTTCAATACTTAAAGGCAAGTGTGTTCTTTGCAAATCCAACAAAGGCAAAATACTCACTAATAGAGTAAATTAACATAATGGACTCCATGAATTAAGCTAATGACTTGTTTCTAAGTCTGCAACACAAAAACCAATGAAATATAACAGATTAGAAAATTGCCACCTTCATCACTGTTGACTGACAAAATCACGAGCACAATTCCATAATCACTTACTTCCAGCAATAACTTGAATCCTTCTCTTTTCTTGATTTCTTCTACGAGGTACCTAAAAATGAAAGACAAATAATATTTATAATCTGGCATCTAACAATTCCATGAACACGAGTGACACACAAAAACACTGTTATTTCAAAATGCAGAGACAGGATTAGAAATACAGGCTTAGAAATAAAGAAGGGCAGGGGAAAAGGGATAAAAATGGATTTAGACAGATATCCCTGAACCTACTGCAGACCCCTGGGGCCCGAGTAAAAAGGTTCATCTTTTGGATGAGGTGACGTTTATCTCTCATATTAGCATCAGACTTTAACCCCAGTATGAAAACCACCTACACTGGAGATACATCTCTGGCCATGTGGGTTTCACATTCATATTCTAGATGGGGATTTAGCACAGTTACTTAAATTACCTAGCTGGCTTTTGGTGTAGAGTCCTACCTGTAAGCTCATTTAAGATCAAGGAAGCTCAACATCGTTTTTTCCAAGGCCAGGACAGAGGGAAAAAGGACTGATCATTAGTATCATGTTAAAAGTAAGTGGGCTGTAGCCACTGACAGAATGTCTAAGAAGTCCTCTCCAATGTCAGGGAGAAAAGAACTATCATGCCATAAGCAAAGGGCACGGATACAGGAGATGCAGAATATGACCAAAAAAAGGTGAAAATGACTTTGAGAACATAGAGTAAATCAACATGGACACCTCCTCCCTGGGATCGGTTATTGTCTATATAAAAAGAGGAGCCTTTCGAAATAATTGTCCTTAAAAACTACTGATTTGATCATGAGACTTGAAAAGTTCATAACCCTTGACCCAGTATCTCAGATTTGGGGGTAAAATGTAAGGAAGTGATCAGGGGCATTGACAAAAATGTACTTGCCAGAATATTTATTGTGATTTTATATGTAACAGCAAAAGAAACAAACAAAAAACATAACACCCAAGAATGAAGATTGGCTTTGAAAATTATGGTCCATTCATCATATGGAATTATGGTATAATTATCTGGAAGGGGCACCTAAGTGGCTCAGTTGGTTGAGCATCTGACTTTTGATTATAGCTTAGGTCATGATTTCAGGGTAGCAGGATCAAGCCCCGCGCCAGGCTCCACACTCAGCACAGAGTCTACTTGAGATCCCTCTCTCTGTGTCTCCCTCTACCCCTCCTCCCTCTAAAAAAGAAAATAAAAATAAATCTTTTTAAAAGAGTAATTATATGGAATATGATCATATCACTAAACCACATATATTAAATTAATATTTAAAGACAACAAAAATGTTTCTTGGGCCTCAATTCCAAGAAAACTGAAATAACACAATCTGCTTTTCTAATCTCAAACATTGTTTCAAAAGAATTAAGTAAAACCATGCATATATGTAATTTTACCTAAATTTATGTGTACACATGTGTGCATGTATTTAACACAAAATAACCAGAAACAAGGTTAAAAATCCAGAAATTGGCAAATGGTAAAATAAAATGTATTATAGCAACACAACATAATATGGCATAGCTATTAAAAAAAATGAATTACATCTACTTCAATTAAACCACAGGGATGCTCGTGATGTATTAGCAAGAGATGAAAGCAAGGTACTGAGAAATGTCAATAATATGATTTCTCTTTTTAAGAAATTATCAAAACGAAAGCAGAAGTAATTCCTATCCCTATATCCATATATATATATATATTTTTTTTTCTTTTCCCCCACGGAATAAAGAATGGAAGGGTACACAATAAATTGTTAGTGTTTACCAGGGGGAGGAACAAACAATGCAATGGGGTAGTTACTAATTCTCTTTTTATATTTCTTTGCAAAGTTTCATAGATGTGGTTACTTGTGTACTTTTTGAAAGGGAACTTAAAAAAGAAAAATGTAAAGCACAAACATAATAGACAGACAGATACAATCTCTATTGGTACAAGGAAAGCTTGTGAACCATACTTTTTTCAAGCTTCTCAGACACAAATGTATATAGGAAATCTGTGAACTCCAAAGCAATACTACACTTCATCCTGAGGAAGCCTACACTAATCCTGGACACCACGACGCTATGGAAAAGCTTTGCATCTCCAGAAGTCCTGGGACTGATTCTAGAAGATTCTAATTGCACAGCTCATCAACTTTGTGACTCTAGGCAAGTTCCTTAGCTTCCCCAGCCTGCCTCAGTTTCCTCCTGTCTGCAATGGAGATGTGGGACTAGGTGGGTAAAATCCTTCCCTAACAGATGATGACTGTAGGAAACTTACACGAAAGTCTCAATTTAAGCTATTTCTGTCAAACTGGCTAAAACTGCTCCCAAGAGAAAGGTGTCCTAAAACAGAGCTGGATCATTTCAGTTAAAACTCTGCTTTTTGCTAACCATGGGGACCTGGGCTTTGTGTCAGGGCCACTGTCCCCACTGCAGCCACTCTCAGAGCCCAGAGTGTTAACACTCCAACTGAGTTGAGAGTAGATGTGGTTTGGGTGAAGGGTTGCTATTACAACCATAATAAGAGGCTCACACGGGAGTCCCCCAACTATGCTCTATGCCAACTCATGTTCATAGGTCTCCCACATAAAAGAGCTCAATTGCCAAATAAATGTGAGCTATGCTAGGCATGCCAATTAGATTACTTTTGTCTACAATTAGAAGGGCACTTGGCTTAACTCATAAAGACATTTATTGAACTGGTCGGATGGTTCAATGCTGTCATCAAGAACCAGGCATTTTCTATCATTTCAAGATGTGTGCCATATTCCATGCATCACGGCCTTCCACGAGTGTCCAAGAAGGAGGAGAGGGGGCTGGAGCAAAAGCATTTCCTCTTCCTTTCTCTCTACTGAGGTAAGAATATTTTCCCCAGAAGCCTTCAAAGACTTCTTCCTCTATCTTCTTGACTGAGGCTGAGTCATATATTTATGCCTAAACTCACTACAGGCAGTGGAGATTGGCTGAGACCAATGTTCCCAGCTACACTATTGCCACCTAAATAAAATCAAGGTTCTCTTAGCAAGAAAAAGAGGGAGAATGGTTGTTGGCTGAACAATAAACAGTATCTGCATGTTAAAAATATTAAAAACAAAGTTAAAAAGGTTTCCATATTACAGGCCCCCTCAGGAACACTGTATCTCCGAGAGAGGAATAACAGAGTAGTTAGCCTTTCCAAACATATTTGACCATGGAAACGTTTTTTGGAAGAACATTCATTAAGATCTTCTGGAGGTCTATTATCCCACAGAGGGCAGTTTCAGAGATGCTAGTTGGGAGAAGTGCTTCTTCAATAGGGTATCTTCCCCTCTTCTTAAATAAAAGTTTAAGTGAATGGAATTTGGGGGAAGGAATCCAAATAAGGTTTGAGTCACTTCTGCCTGCATTCATAGGGATGATTTTTTCCTCACAATTTTTCTTTTCAATACATGGAAGCCGACTAAATATAAAATACATTTCAGGGGAAAAAAAAAAAACCCAACTCTTCTTATCTGATGCAAACCAGAAAAGGATGTACATTGAGTTTGGGGATATAATGCAGGAACCAGAAACCACTTCTACCAAAAGGCATCCAGGTAAATGGGTTCAAAAAATAACAATAGCTTATAAAACTCATCACTGTGCTTCCTGCTAAGCTTAGCAAAGAGAGAAGGGAGGGAAAAAAATTACACACTAGCAAGAATTTTCACCAATCCTACCGGGTAAAAAAAAAAACCCATTGTATGAAGATTCTGGCTTGATTTTGAAGCAGACATTAATGATAGTCCTGCTCCCAAACACTTCTCCTTCCTTTGCTTACAAATATGCTTCCAACCCTGAAGACCTTCAATTCTCTTGTTTGTTAAATGATTATGTCTGATGTTTTTGCCTTTAACTTGCCCTTTTGCAGGACGTTCTTTGCTTTCTGGAAGCAGCCTTTCAGTCCCTTTCTCAGCTACTCCAGGGTCTCCCTTGGAACACTCTGGACCAACTTTCTCTCCCAGCCTCACCTCCTCATTTGAAATTGTTTTCTGATGCATGGAGCCTCCCAGAACTCCTGAGAGGTTTCTCCATCTGTTTTCTGTATGCTCTGCATATATTAGAACATATTGCATGACTTGTGTGGTTCAGCACAGACACCTACATGCTACGGTCTCCTGCAATTGTGATTTTTGAAAAATTACCAATATGAAGAAAAACGAAAACACTGACCCTTCTGTAGCCCTGTAGACTGCCCCCTCTCTCATCACCTAGAGAAATACACTAGCTCAGAAGTGCCATTGAGTATCTGCTCACCTTTTCCACGCTGAAAACAATAAATCCCCCAGTATTCATGCAAGTCAATGAAATGAATGCCATCTGAGAGATTACAGAGATTGTGTGTCAAGGGCCTAGATAAATGATACACTGGAGATCTAATGAAGTAGCCGAATGGGAATTCTTGAGCTGTTTGTTGTTGTTGAAAAGATTTACACACATGACTTTTCTCGGCTTGCTTTAAAAAATTACCTCTGACTGAATATCCATTTAACCCGACGGCCATAGCGGAGGCCTAGAAGGTGCCCCCAGCAACAGGTAGCCCTGGGCATTGGGAAACATTTTCAACTTTCCTAGACAGATATCAGGGATACACAATCACCTGCCTGGTACCAGTGGTGGTGGTTTTAAATCCCAGCCCTCTGCATTTCAGTTACACTTCATAATCGCATGCTGCTTTACGTTCCCGATGTCACTGGTTTTCAAACAACCCAAGGAGAAAGCAAGTTTTTAGTCATTAATATTTCTCCAGATAAGAGATCTCTTGGTGATTGGAATGACGAGGGTCAAATGGAAATTAGTAAAGGCCTTAGAGATCTTCCAGGCACTAATTTTTTCCCTTTTTCCTAGATTCTGACAACTCATTAAATAGGAGTCTTCTAATGTCTGCTTTTGCTTTCCCAAGGGAAGAGAGAGCAAACTATCTGATCAGGGGGATGGCAGCCCATTGTTCCATCAAACTCCAGTCCTTCAATTTTAAGGTCAATATACAAATTTCAAACTAAGCTCCATTTAGACTCAAGAACATGGAAATATTGTTTCTGTGGAGTCAGAGCAATCTTTCCTGCAATGTCAGGGGGGAAGAGTTACCCAGCCTTTCCAGTATTTGAGAGATCTTGACAGAGGGTCTAGGGAAATGGGGGTCTTGGCTGTCTCAGGCTGCTGGTAATCGGTGTGCAGCCCAAATACTAACACAACCCTCATTTGCAGCTTTACTTTGCTAATTCTTACCTACTGAAGGGAATTATACTCCTTGGAACAAAACAACATTAATTCTGAAATTATAGACATTATGCCAGCTAGAGCCTTCTGGACACAGATGAGAATCGTTTTTAAAGGCAGTGGCCTAGGGTCAGTGAGCTTGATGAGAAATGGAGTTTGAACTCTCAAGAGTCAGTGGTTTCTACTGATTACATTGGCTGACTTAAGCAATGGTGTTTCAGAGCGAATACGGACTGGCTAGTGAGAGCCCACTGTTAAATATTTAGGAATTTTGCAAATCACAACTGTTGACAGCTCGCAATTTTACACAATGGGAATATCTACACCGCGGGGATTGATAGGCATTACCAACTGGGGCTTTTGTTTCTTCCTCCTGAGAGCCAGTTTACTAGGACACTACTGTACATGGGCTCCAACAGAATAGATCCCAGCTCTAAGAAAAGGTTTCTCCTTTCCTAAAGAAACCACAAACCAATTAACCGATTTGAAAATATATAAAATCATAAAAATAAAGACTTACGTTGCCAAGTTGATGTAATTCTTAATCCTAGAGAAATTTTCTCCAAGTTTATAAGTTCATCATTCCAAGTGACATGTCTAAAAGGGCTCAGCCAAAAGTAAAATAAAAATAGGGGCACCTGGGAGGCTCAGTCAGTTAAGCGCCTGACTCTAGATTTTGGCTCATGTCACGCTCTCAGGGTTGTGAGACTGAGCCCCACATCAGGCTCTGCACTGGGCAATGAAGCCTGCTTAAAATTCTCTCTCTCCCTTTCCCTCTGCTCCACTCCTCCTGCTCTCTGTGTATGTTTCTCTCTCTCTCTCAAAAAAAAAAAGAAAAGAAAAATAAAAGGACTCAGCATTTACTTGGCATTGGGGGTAGGAGAACAGGATGACTTTTGCCCACCCCAGGAAGAGAGGGTTGGATATATGAAAACTGGAAAGTTAAGGCAAAGAAACTATGATGATTAACAGAGTGAAAGAGGAGGATTATTTTTCAAATATTTAGATATAGGTCACAGAGTCTGCAGTGATGCTTGCTGAAATGTTAATTCAATTCAATTCAACTTGACAAACATTTACAAACAATAAGTGTTTGTTGAATTGAATTGAAGTGTTAACATTTATTCTCCTGTGATATTTCTCTGCAAAAATTAGGAAGTATCCTTAGACTATAAATTAAATTCTACCCTGAGATGAATGTTAACTTTATAACAAATATGATCATCAAATATTTGTATCTAGCCTTCTTTCAAGACACCTGTCAATGAATTACTTAGCAGCTTAGACAAAACAATGCAGAGATTCTGCCACACTTAAGTAGTATGAGAAAATACAAAAGAAAAGGAAACAGAGCTTTCTGAACTTCTATTTTAATTGAACAGAAACTATGAATAATTATGGTGGACAGTGTCATTTTTTTTCACCATTGGGTAATTATCTCCCTAATTCTGATGGAGGTACATTAACCCTACTTCTAATAAAAGCATATTCCTCACCTAGTTTCAGCATATTTTCTATAGGAGGAATTGATGTTGCCCAATGCCAAGGGAGGGCATGTGACTCAGCATGACCAGTGAGAGCATCACATTTCCCTGGTAACAGTGACTGATGACAGATGGACATTTGCCTCATTCAGATATGAAAACTTTCTTTAGGATTGTTGAGAGAGGAGCACACTCTCATTTGGACCTTGAACTCGAACCTAGGATGATAGAGGATAGAGATCTGACACTCGCAGCAGCCATCTTCCTCCATAGGAATAAACCAACATAAAAGAGAGCAACCCTGAAAGATGGAAAAAGATTGAGGCCTGATGATATGGTTTAAGCCCCTAAATGAAGTCATTCCAGAAGTCATCATTATACTAGCTTATAAGGAACATGGGGTAATAAATTACCTTTCTTTGTTTATAGTATCTTGCATTACGGTTTCTGTTGCTTGCCACATAAAGAATCCTAAATGGTACAGTATTTATAGATTTTTTAAACTACTTAAGCCATAATCACTAGAATTGCTGACTTTTAACAATCTTCTGAAAGTGCCAAAGCCATCTTTTTACCTGTCCTTATATCCAAGCCGTTATGAAAAAGAATAAAGGAGACCTCATTTGAAATGGACTTAGGAAGCCCTGAAGATGGAGCTTTCGTGCCCTACAAACTTGACATCGATTGCAGACCTCAACAGGAAAAGGCATACCTTGCATTTTCCAACTGGAAGAAGCCTATTCGACTACCACAGCAAATGGGAAGAAGATTTTCTCCTTGTCTAGCAAAAGCCCCAGCCAATGAGAAGCCATACTACCAGCCAGTGAGAAGCCATCCCTCTCTGTCTTGTCCAATGGTCTCATGTCTAAAGCAACCCCTCTCAACTTCCCCCTTTCCTCTACATAAGCAAACTCTTCTTTGTTCTCCAGACTTGCTTATGGTTTGCCATAGTTTGAATCTCCTGAACTGCAATTCCTCTGCCATTCCCAAATAAACCCATTTTGCTGGTAAAAAACTGGCTGTTTCATTTTCAAGGTCAATACCATGTAACTTTGCAATTCTTCCTGATAAAAGGCCCATTGTATTCCCTGCCTCTTGACATTGAGGTTAGCCATGTGATTTGCTTTGGCCGTTGGAATGCCAGTAGATACGATACAATCAGGACTTCAAAGTCGGCCTGCATAATGGGGCTTGCCTTCTTGGTCTTCTGTCATCTCCATCACAAGAACACACTCTGGCTCACCTGTTAATACAAGGAAGATGCCAAGCATGTGGGGAGTAGACAGGGACCCTCCACCAACCCCTCCAGCCGGCACAGTATGCAATAAAGCCACTCCAGCCCACTTGCAGATGTCTGAGAATAAATAATTGCTGTTTTAAGACACTGAGTTTTCAGGCAGTTGTTGCACGGAGCACTCATACAACTCCCAGTCAGGAAAGAGAAAACTGTCTTAAATCTCTAAGGAGAGACTTCAGGATTTTGCAAGTGCAATGTGAACAGGAAGTCTGAACGAGAGAGAATCCAAACCCAAGATCATAGTGGTCAAGCCTATAGTGGTCAAGCAGGTAAGAATAACCAAAACTCAGATGGCATGTAGCACAGGCCAGGCACTGTTCTAAGTGTTTGACATATATCAGTTCATTTAATCCTCATGACAACTATTGGAACGACATAGCATTTTATCTCCATTCTACTGGGACAGAACTGAGGTACAGAGAGGTTCAGAAACTTGCCCAAGTCACCTTGCTTGTAAATGCCAGAGCTAGGTTGTGAGTCTAGGTTGTCTGCGAAAAACAGGAGGAGGTACAGGGGAGTGTGGTTCTCTAGACAGGCACCAGCATGTTCAGTGGTTTGTCACCAGGTGGGATTGAGAGCATTCTGATCCTTCGGGAGAAGCCAAAAATCCAGATTTTTGACAAATCTCCCTATTTTTAAGTATTTTACATCTTTAAATGTTTGTTTGTTTGTTTGTTTTGACACCGAGAAGATTAAGCCTATGTAGTTCAGGCTCAAAAAATCACATTTAAAACTAAATCTGGCTGTGGCCTGCCCATGTGCACCCACTGATCCATGCTTAGCGGAAGAGTCTTGTTTGGTTGGCAAGTGTCCACCACCTGTATCTAAAGGCTTTTCTAATGTCTTGGAAAATGGCTTCAAAAGCTTTGTGTCTAATGTTACAAGGAGACAAGTAGCCATAGCACTTCCACATTACCTTTACCTTCACGTCTTCCTTCCAGCCCCACATTCTCACAAACCTGCTATTCAGGTCTTTAAAGTCACCGTGATTTGGGCTTGGTGCTCCCTCTGCCTGCACCATTCTTCTCCCCTTTCTTCCCTGGGTCTTAGTTGAATGTCACTTCCTCCAGGGCTTCTGCCAATGCCCCTCAAGAATACTAAGGAACCCTCCTGAGTGCTCCTGGAGCATCATGTACCCACCTTTACCAAAAAGTAGGTTCACTTGTATTTTATCAGCTTCGTCACGTAAGTGTATCTCTTACTGGGCTGGGAACCGGGAGGGTGGGGGTAAGACTGTTTGGTTCACAATTCCTAACATGTAGCAGGTACTGAGAAAATGGTCATTAGATGAAAGGAGAAATGCACACAAGAAAGAACATGTATCCAGACTTTGCAAATGTTATTTCCATCAAGTCTTTCTGTTACAGACGTACACACACACACACACGTACACACACATACACACACACAGGCAAGTACCTAGATAAAGCGAGTGCACGATTGACTCTTTCTTCAAGGCCTAATGTGCCCAGGGCCTTCCAAGTCATCCAGAACTTGAACGCATCTGGTCTCCTGCTGCATTGGATAGACTTGTCTCCTGTGTCGTAGCTGACATCATAGAACTTATCCTGCTGGAAGAGGTAAGATGCCTTGGCAGAGTAGCATTTCTTAAGAAGGTCCTTTGAAAAGAAAGGAAAGAAAGAAAGAAAGAAAGAAAGAAAGAAAGAAAGAAAGAAAGAAAGGCAGGCTGTAAGACTGTCCATTTTTAGCATACACTTGATTTCAAAAACACACACCCACAAACGAAACCTGTAGGATGTTCTACTCCCTTGTGCCAAAGCACCTGCTCTCACTCTGACTTCCCTGCATGGGAAGCAATATGTGTATATTAACATTGAGACACAGGTTACCTATTTTGTTTGGGGAAAAAAAACCCTCCGAGTTGAGAATGCCAAGTGCATCTTCACAATCTTATTGATGAGTATTTGGAAGCTTGGAGGTGCCCATGTCATCACCTGTAGAGTATCAAAGTGGATCAATTTCTCAAGATGAAAAAAAATCTGTCTATAACTCACTCAAGGATCCATATTGGAAAAAAATATCTAACATACTATACATACTTTATATAATTTCATAGGCAAAAAACTAGTCATTTATAGCCCTTCGTGGGCCCCACAATTGTCTCAGCATCTTCATTGCTACAGAATACCTAGTAAAACCCTCTGCTTCCCCAACAGAACCAAACTACCCGAAGTCCCTTAACCACTAGATCATGCCCCATGTGTATCTTTGCTCACACTACTTGCTTGACCTTACCTCTATTTTAATATAATATTTGACACATTCAAAAAATACATGCAGCATATTTACCAGTTCTGAAATTTACTAACACTGAACCTGGTCTTTCCTTGTTATCTAGGTCTGCCCTTCCTTTGGGTCCCATCTCAAGTATACCTTCCCTTCAGCTTCTTTCCTGCCCATCCCACTGGACTCACTTCTTCCTTTTATATTTGGCTGCATTTGCTGACTTTACTCCTTTCTGCCCCTACTCAATATGCAGTCTGCCAAGCAAGTTTTTGAGGGCAGGAATCATTTCCTACTCATGTCTGTATCATAGAGCTTAACACTGTATTGGGCATAGAATACCCTCCCTCTAGCAATTAGGGTGATGATGCCACTCCCCATATTTCACACTTCCCTCACATTCCCCTGACACGTAGTACGAACAGAAGAAACACAGATATATGAACTTCTCATTTGGAGTATCTTCTAAATCTTAACGATACGAAAGGAAGACACAGAGAAACTCCCCAGTGGTCATAGAGGTCCTAGAAAGTGATCTCTTCTGAACAGAGAAAGTATTCAGTTGACTAATCAACTTGGTACATTCCAAACAAAAGCACGCATTTGCTGTGTTAATAGTAACATTGTCTTGTGTGGACACTAATCTGGATATAATGTGTGCCATTACCAGAAAGCATGATTTTATGCTATGTAAAAAATTATAGACCATCTATAATCTAATCAAGAACTCCAAAACTACACTCATCCAGGATCCAAAATATATAGTATAAAAATAATTAAAGGAATACTACTAAGTCTTCAGTCTTGCTCTGATGGATACTGTCAGTAGACACGGAAAGAATAGATTGCTCTGATCTGAACATTAAGATATAAAGAGCCCCTTATTCTTTAATCTTTACTTTCATTCTGTCATCCATCCTCAGCTCTGATCAGAGCTGCCGCCCATGCATCTCCCTACCCTCAAAGGTCAGACAATTTGGTTATTGTATCCATAGCAACTGCAGCCTGACCATATATTATAACATTAAAAGGCCACTGCATACATTTTAAGGACAAAGCACACACACACACACACACTCTTGTACTTGCATCACAACTATAAATTTAATTTCATCAACCATGAAAGACTCAAAAAAAAAATCCTCTAAGCAGATGAACTTTGGACATGTCTTGAGCAAGTTTCAGTGCCTCATGCAAGTGACTGAAAGGGAGAAGAAGCCCATCCATTATCAGGAAACAAATTGCATCATCATAGGCAAATGGAGAAGAGAAGAGCCAAAAAAGCATACAGCAGAATGAGTGATTGTCCTCCAGTCATGATACCATTAGTTTCATTACACTGAAAAATCCTCCTGCCTTGGGAAAGTTTCATAAAGAACAGCCAGAGGCTTGGGATTTACTTTATCGAAAATAAATAAATGAAACTTTCACCACAAAGTTCCTGCTTTGCATTTTAGTTTGTATCTTTGCATTAAAATGGATGAGATGTCTTTGGTTTTAAGATACACTTCTAATAAGAGAAGATGTTCAGCTCTCCAGAGAAAAGAACATTTTGGAACAAGTAGAGTAAAAGTTAATGTTTTTGAAAACAATTAGTCATTATTGTACCATCAAAGAGAAGCACCCTGTTTATCTTGTTCATCTTTATAATCTTAATGCTAGCAGGACAATAAATACTGGTTATATGATTTCCAGAGACATGGATGTAACAAGAATACCAATTGCTTTATATGGTGATATCTTCTCAAGCAGTGTTCAGGAATTAGTAGATATTGTACTAGCACTCACACAGTGGCAAGTGAAAAAAATGCAATCAAAGTAGCTTAAGCAGAAAGGAGAATTTTTTATAGGTTCATATATTTAACACTCCAACATGGCGAGGTTCAGTTAATTATCCAAGATTGTGTAGCTATTAGGTGGTGGGGCTGGGTTTCAAACCAAAGCTGCTGGGATGAAGGGCCTGAACTCTGTATCCATGACACTTCAGTCTTTCTACAGTGAGCCCTTAAATACATGCGGGAGAGAGTACTTCCAGAAATGCTCATTAAGAGTCCTCGGAGAGGCAGGTGAAACAGAAGATAGCCCATCAAGAACACATTGAACTGGAGATCAAAACAACAATCATGCTGCAGACCCTTACTCTGTCCCTATAAATATGACTTCTGTCCTACTAGTGGTGGCATTTTGTCTAGAAAGCATCTTGATATTTTTCTAAATACTTGTGACTGGTGATATTTAAGGGCATCACTACAAATACATAATGAACCAGTAGGTGGCATATTTTTCTTGTCGAGGTGAGTTAAGCCATTTTTTATTTCCACAGGCTACATCATATTCTGCTGTCTATTTCCCAGGAGTCAGTTATTATATGGGCCTCCTTTAAGTCCTCACTCCTTGCCATCATGTTTTTCAGCTTAGCAAGAGAAAGCTACCCAAAATTCTTCCCATATGGCTCTTTCCATGTTCTGTCCCGTATCATCATTATTTACATGCAAGACATTGTCTAAACACCTTAGGAAATCGGTACATTAATCATCTTTGTACTAAGTAATTCACTGCCAAATTATGTACTGAGGACCTGTTATATAACAAGCACCATGAGAAGCCTGGACATACAACCCCATAGAGGTACTAAGCATCTTGGTTAACATTTGTTGATTGCACAAAACTAAATTTAGGCTATCAATAGCAGAGGGGCTTGGTTGTAATCTAAAATGTAAAACTGAATTTTAAAAATGATCATACCTTCTGATCTTGGCTTGATTGATTGATTGAACAAACACTTGAGAGGCTTAGTATATGCCAAAAGCTGCGCTTGGCACTGAGGATGTAATGCTAAATAAGAAAATCACTATCCCTAAGAAGTTCAAGACGGATATAGGGATAGAAAAACAGGCAGTTACAGAATGGTGCTAGACTAGGGGTAAGAACAAAGTCTACAGAGCACGAAGAAGGGTCAATTTTCACTGACTCAGAGACATTAGATAGGACTCTTTGGGAGAAGAAATATGTCACAGAGAGCTGAAAGATGGGGAGCAGCTGGGGAGAAGAGAAGACGGAATGAGTTCAGTATGGAGCTCATTAACGGGCCAGGGCAGAGCTAGGAAGACTGGAAAGGTAAAGAGTAGGCAGGTCACCACGGTCTTAAGGGTCACAGTAAGAATGACTGGTCAGAGAATTTTCACAGGCTCGTAGAGATACTTCAACTTCATTATTGATCTGGCAGAATAAAGTGAGAATCAGCAGATGTGGTGTCCACTTTTGATTTAGTCCCTTATTGTCAGAGCTCAAAGCAAGTCACTTAACATCTCGGGCTTCATTTTTCTCATCAACGTAATGGAGACAGTGCTACTTGTTCTACCCATCTTACAAGAATACTGTGAAAATCTAATGAAATAATGTCACCGGGGAACACCTCTCAGCTTTGGCCAAAATCCTGCTCATTACTCCCTTCCTCCTACATATTCCCATAACCCCGACCCTCCCAGCTGTCACCACCCATTCTTCCTTTGATTTACTTCTCTCCCCTCAGCAAGCTGAAAAACAAGATGCCAGCTCTAGATATCCTCACTGTTTATGAAATGAGCATATTGTACCTCTCACCCACCTCCCCTTTTTAATGGTATGTATCTGCCAGTAGCTGTAGAAAACCAAGTTGATAGACTATGTTAAGGCTATTACAAAAAAATCTTAGAGTAATAGGAAGAATGATCCATGGTCTTCATCCTCCAAATGGAGGTAAGCCTGACCTTGCCTAAGCTCTCACACCCGATGGCTTTCGTAGATGCTGTGGATCTTTACAAGTGAAAAAGAGACATAGGGGCGCCTGGGTGGCTCAGTTGGTTAAGCGACTGCCTTCGGCTCAGGTCATGATCCTGGAGTCCCGGGATCGAGTCCCGCATC